CTTTCGTGTCCATTCACGAATCATACACCACTAGACCTAGCATGCTTAGAAAATACTTGAAAAATGAGTCTATTGGAAGGTGGCTGTTCGATTGGCTCTTTGTTCTCACTATACACACATTTCCTTCTTTTAATAGTTCGCATGAACAACAATTGCGCCGCGTCGTGGCGGTTGGAGTCTTCCTCTTGAAATGTCGTCGATCTTTTTCTTCGTTCAAGTCGTGAAACACGTAGTTGTTTCTGCTTCATTATCTTCTTCTTTCCTATATGCGCAATACGGCCGGACTAGAACAAGCCCGCTACCCACTGTTGACTAATAATCGAAACGTTATCCGTATCAGCCTTCAGACTCGACTAAGTGTAACGTTTTACTGGCCACTGTGTAAAGAGCTGTTTTTCCCGTGATTGATGTTTTTCCCAGTTCCTTTAATTTTATCAATTTTTCCTCTCACCCCGAGCCACATGTGTGTGTGTGTTTTCGTCCTTGCAATCTGGTCCTCGATTTCTTGCTTCATTTTCTTCGTCACACGTAGAACGTTCTAATAACGCGACAACTTAAAGAATTACAAAAAAAAAAAAAAAGAAAAAAAAAGAATGAAAAAGAAAGATAACAGCGCCGTGCGACATGCACAAAAAGTAACCGAATTGAATCGTGCGCCATTTTGTTTTTTCTTATTAACAATTAAGACTCCATTTTGATCATGATGTTAATACAAGGCAACGATATCACCTAAATAATTCGCTAGTCCCGATACGATTCACGTATATGTTCCGTTCGCGCGCTTGATTTTTCCCTCTTTTTCTTCCATGTGGCGTCGTCTGATCGTATTCGGGAACGACAACGACGATCAGGTTAACAACGACAGTGACAACGACAATGATGAACATATGACAATGACGACGAATATCATGCCAACGATGATGATGAGGATGATGAAGACGACGACGAAGACGAAGACGAAGACGAGGACGAGGACGAGGACGAAGACGAGGACGACGACGACGACGACAACGACGACAACGTACGTGACCACGACGATCGTACTCGTCTTGACTTATCTTTACATGGATATAAACACCATGGATCGTATAAGCGGCTTATGGGCTGTGCTTGGTGACATACGACAGGGTAGCGGGCGTTCCCCTGTGCGTCGTGGTGGCAACGATTTAATAGCGCAGTGGTGTTCACAGTCGTAATCATGGTAGTAGTGGTAGTTTCAGAACTAGCACTCGGTAGTTACCTCCTGTCACGATACAGGAGATAAGTCTTCACTGCTAACGGCAGGCTCAGCGCGTTCACTTTCTCTTCTATCTTGTCCTTGCCGATTCGTTTTCGAATCACTCTTCGACAGAGATCCATCAGGGGTAATGGTTCAGCTGAAACAATTACGATTTTCATGATTACCTAGCTAATTTTAGATATACATTATTATTAAAGCCTACGTGAATTGAATGGAACACGTGTAACATATATTAGCGAATTAAAAATACATGTTCTTAATGTAATTATGCATTTGTTATTCGAATATTTGGTACACGGATTCATTCGACACGTTCAATTACTACCTTACTAATACGACAAGATTTATTTATGTGTGTTCTTCAAATTAAGAGATTTTTATTTGTGTACTTAATTAATTTAATTAATTATTTTATCGTGCAAATTAAAAGTACTTAAATCGCGGATACATTATGATAATCATAATCAGAATTTTATTATATACGAGAGAAAAAGATGATTAGTTAATTAGAATTAAAATAACAATTCTAATAATAATAAATAAATAAATAATAATGAATAGATAATTCATTTAATATTTTAATAATCATGATGAAATACGCTACTGTATAAAATATAATAAAATAAATATAATGTATAAAATATGTATAAAATAAGTATAATAAATATGCAAAGTAAGATTTTTAAAACGTGTAACTTTAGACTTATACGGATATATTGCTTATAGAGCGTTAATTACACGTGTATCTTTGAAACTAATTGCTAATCTAATTATTATTTGATTATTTAGTAACTCTATAACTACTTACGATCAAGTCCACCGATATACTTCATCGTGATCTCACAGTGTCCCCATACAGCGGATACGATAGGATGAAGCTTCTTGCCCTTCAGGCCTTTGAACGCGACTCCAAGGTATTGACCATCCACGACGAACGCTAGCGTGCCTTCGTCCATGTCCAAGACGACTGAAAAGGGGAAAAGAAACTTTCATTAGGTTATCGAAATCAACTATTGCCCAGTGAAATTAGAGGGTCCACTCACCGAGGAATTTGTCAGGAACAATGAACGTTTCGTCGGGCTTGAGGAGAGCTGGGTACGTGATACCAGCATTGTTCTTCGAGTCGTGGAGAAGCTTGTTCCTACCGAGATCCCAACCCCAGCTTTGTTCGTTGTTACCCACCAGGCTCTGGTATCCGACACTGTGAAGGGGTGCCTCTGCGGTCGCGACACCCACTACGGCGTGCGTGCCTCTTTGCCTCGTGCTCCAGAACAGTTCCCAGACATGCATACCTTTCGTGTACCCTACTCTCCCCCTTATGCAGTCTGTGCTTTGGGCCACCGGGTGCCGATGAAACGTTAACTTATCGTCATCCTGCAATAGAAATAATTTATCAGTTAATGAGCCATTTGTCGGTCAATAATATAAAATTGGATTACAGATATATAAGAGTTACAATAGAACAGATTTAAGTAGCATTAACCGAATAATTATGATGCTTTATTAATTAATAAATTACTTCATTTCTCAGTATATTAACAACGGATCTCAATACGTATGTTTATTATTTCGAAATCGAGAAGAAAATATACATTATTATAACAGTTTAGTAATTGTTAAAAATCTTAGTATATAAAGGATTGATATATTGATTGGTGATCATTGATTACCGGTGTGTCTATTTTTATAAATACTTTAGAATGATTGAAAAAAAAAGAAAAAAGATTGTAAGCAACACAGGTAACTAGATAATATTGAAAAATGAGTTTCCATCACGCTTTTACCGTAACATAATATTTTATAATTTTGAAATATTCCGTCGAAACGTATAAATTTTCGTGTCAACGTTCGGAATTTCAGAAATACGGTACAAAGCGAGAATAATGAAGTTATTGCAAAATATATGGGATTAAAATTAACAAGAATTAAAAAGCGAAGGAATTTTAATTTTAAAGACTCAACAACCCTTTGCGAACAAACACGAAACGAGGTTGTACATTAAAAACTCAAGAGGTCAATCAATCTTATCAACCTGTAGTTTCGATAAGAAAAGTATGTGCAAGTCATTTTCTACTGAAAATTACGCCAATTGATTCCAAGTCCTGCATATATCATTTCATGAAAACTTTATCGATAACAATATATTAGAATTTAACTTTCACATTTTTCTCAGAATAATTTTTCAACATGCAGTGACATTCAACTCGAGCGAGACAAAATTATGACATGTCGTGGCACATCGGAATTCATCCGTGAAAAAGGTTAGAGAATGAAAGATCGCCTCAAATATTCTGAGCTCGACGAGTGCATTCCTAAGATACCTTGACGAATATGTTGAGGCTACGGTCGTTGGCGTTCCAGCTATGATGAATCTGCGTCTCCCGCGAAGCGGGTGGCATATCGAGCAGGACATCGAGCCGTGGCGGCCTCGCGAAGTGTTGCGCCAGCTCTCTTGGTACCACGGGTTTATACGCTACGACACCGCCACCCCCGACGCCAACTCCACCAACAGCTCCAGCTGCAGCCTCACGTGTCACGCTTTTTACGCCGCCTAAAGAAAGAAAGAAAAAGAAAAAAAAAAAATTGAAAAAATCCCTAAGTTAATCAATTCTATAACATATTAAAGTTTTAATGTGAATCTCGTCTCTCTCACGGATAATATTTTTTATGGATCGCCTATATTAATCTTCTACAGCAACGACGAGATCGAATATTCTACGTATCGTATAATAGATTCGTAAAGGTTACAACAATCTCATAGGGAGGATAATTATACTGCGACGAGTTTTATCAAATTACTCTTCCTTTCTAATTAAAACTCGATTAACAATGACAGCGATTAACTTCGATAGCCTGGCGACACCATAACAACGATAGGTTAATCTTCTGCGATAACAGCGGTAGCAACAACTTACTGTTGACGTCGATAGCAACGATTATTAACGAATATTAACGACGTTTCTCTGCTGCCTGTTTTATACAAATTCGCAAGCCAATCATTCTCGAATACAGAGCGGTTAATTGTCCCATCCCCGTTCGTGCGGAGCAAAACGGTGTTGGCGTCGTCGATCGTTTTTTGAGGACAATGATCGAAACAGGTTCGCGGGTCAGCGACCGAGAGTCACAACAAACGAACAAGAGACAATAACCTCGTTAGAGCACGATCTTCTCTACAGCATGAGAAATCATTTTTAAAAGCGAGCCACACGTATTTAAAAAGTAGATCGATAAGTTTCGTTTCTGCTGGCAATAAATCCTATTGCTCGATTACATGAATTAACATTGGCGAATTGAATCGCTATAAGAAGTGAAAGGGAAAATATATTTATAGATGTTGTATTTTCATTAACTATAAAATGAAAATCTGTTTTCAAACAAACAAGTTGCGTATTCCAAGGTTATACTTTTTATATATTTATATATCCAGTGTTCGACCGTTTCGTCGAATTTTGAGTGGGTTCTTGGTTCAAAGTATTCAAAGTATAAAGTTCGTTTTAAATATAGTGTTTCATAATACATATCAGAACTTTGAATTACGACAAAAGTTCGAGCATTCTCTTTATCACTTAACTGTGTTGTGGAAATATTTCTACGAAGTGCAACTCAACGCGGTACTCTAATATCGCAATACGTTCTTCATCCTTATATCCTATCCCACTGATCGCAAGCTTCTCTTTCTTCATTGACAATAACAAATCGATATGCCAGAGGATGTGACACTGATTACAGCCATTCTTCATCTTCGTTCAAACGCACTTGTCACATCGTGATCGCGATCTTGAATCGTAAGAATCAAAATATCGTGTCGGTCATATCGATCACACGCGTGAAAAGAGGATCGGTCATCGAGAATGCACGCGGGATCAATTTCCACGAGATCGTTAATAATTCAGGGCGCGTCCGTGAGATTCTGGCGGTGCGGCTATCCCGGAGATACCTGGGTTGTGCCAGCCAGCCAGCCAGCCAGCCAGCCAGCACCGGATAGATTTGCCGAAGAACGGAGAGGGGGAAAAAAAGTGGAAGGAAAATAATGAAGGGTCCCCCGGTCCGGCGGGCGCAGCAGGCTTCGCTCAAGGTTTTTCGAAAGTTCGCCGTCTCGTTCTACCGTTTGGTTCTCGAGTCTCGAGAGAGCACGATATATCCTTGGATGCTGGTTTATTTGCAGCTGTTCTTCCCTAGCTGGTGCGCGCGTTCAAGGGTTCTGAAACGAGGGTTCTGGAAAGGACCGCAAACATTTCAAAGGGTC